TATTTAGTTCAATGAATATAATAAAAACTAAGCAAAGAAATCCAATGTGCGTTAAAACGTTAAACGCTATTTTATATATAAGATACGGTTTAAAACGTGAAGAAAAATGCTGCCATAATTTTACTGTAGATGACGATCTCTTAAAATTAATGAATTCAGGTGATACGTACAATAGTGATTCATTTGATGATGAGGAATATACACTCGATATAAATTAATGGTGTTAACTAGTCTTTCGTTTCTTGCGATTTATTTAAATAAAGCATGTAAATTTTCACTAAAACATTTTAGCCGTTTTTTGCCAGAGTCTATGTGAAATTTCACTAAAACATTTTAGCCGTTTTTAGCCGCTTTTTTTTGGCAATCTAGCCGGTCGGCCCAAAAAGTTCTGGCAACACTGTCTAAAATGCTGTGAGAGAAGCTTCCGGTATTTTAGTTGTGCTTACGATCGAGGATCATACAACGACTCAGATCGCAGCTTCGTTCTAACCCCGATACGCAAACGTCGCTCTGCGGCGTAGCGTGACGTGGTGTGCGCGCCGGTCGCGCGGGGTTCGCGGGGCGCGAGCGCGGTGTGGCCTTATTTCCGTTGATCTTATTACCTGTCACCGAGGAATGTCACGCGACGGAAGAGAGAGAGAAAGAAAAAAGTGGCTGTTTAAAGGGCCACGCTGCGATCGGGCGCAACCCTAGATATGGGATATCTATAATGAGAGATGAAGAGAGTAGTATTTTTGGCTGTAACGAGCGGGAAAAGCTTTATGGGCGATACTTGATCTTTCGAAAACTTTAGTATAAAGTAAGGCGACTTATGTCGAGTTTGAATCGCAGTGCGAACTCTTGTAATAACAACCACGGGGCCAATGAACAAGCCAAAAAGCGATGCCGGAGTTTATATTATCTTCTGCGAAACTAGCGTGGCAGTGTAAAATTGATACGGGCCTTTCCAAGCGATTTGATACAAACGAAGATTCAGATGGCTTCTTAAATCTGATGCTGGAGAAGATAATAAGGCCTGCAGAACTATTTTTTATAAGATCAACGGCATCTACGGACGTTCCAGTGGTTCTGCCTTCTGCCAGTAGGATGTGGAAGCAAAGCCAATATGTCGAGTTGAACGAGGGCAATATTGAATACCTATTGTCATCCAATAACCAGTCTGCTAATTTTATGAAGAAGTGCGGGACTCCAAAGCCAATGTAAAATCACTGTTGCCAACAACTGATACTTCGAACTGAGAAGGGAAGTTCTCCCGGGTTGTACAAAAACCACGCTCTGTAAGTTGCACAAATTGCCTGTGCGAGCATATAGCGCAGAAGCTTGGACAATAACAACATCCGATGAACTGGCCCATGGGCTATTCGAGAGCAAGATTTTGGGGGAGCTATACGAGCTCAGAGCTGTATGAGCCTTACAACATATTGCAATACACCGGTTCTGCTAGCTTGATCGCGATGTACGAATGGACTCGAACGCCGAAGCAATAAAAGTATTCAAAACGCTTCCTGCTGGTAGTAGCAAAGGAAGAGGAGGGAAGCCTCCTTTCATTTCCAATTGGCGTTAGTTGACATGAATTAAAACGACTGGCATGCTTCATTGGACTCGTCGCTTAGTAGTTTACGATGCCACACAAGAAGATAAATAACTACCATAACTACCCTCTTCTACTTACTTACTACTATTCAACTTACTATTCAATAATTTCAATTAATTTATGTATTCTACTACAAATTGCTGTTCTGTAAAGTTAATATATTGCCCTAAATAATGCAAAGCATTCATAAGCTTAAATAAATCCAAATGATTCTCACGAACTCTGGCGATTGTGTGAAAACTATCTTAAGCATGACAGGTAACAAATACATTTATCAGTCACACTTGGCTAACGAACGAGCTATTGTGTATGACCAACAATGAATAGCAGCCAACAGCAATCACTTCGACAAGTTAACATTATTAATACACATATGTATGTATGTATGTAGTTAATTGCATGTACGTACTCAGTGACCACAAGGGATCTCAATGCTAAAGATAGTTACATAGCTAGCGATACATATGCACATAAATGCATCCATAATTATGTAGACTTACTAGCATAATGTGAGTACTCTTATCAGATTACAGCTTACAGCTATTGAACTTGTAAATTAACAAATGCCACTGGGAGACGCATAGAGACCGCGTAAAACCGCGTATCTGCAAAATGCAAAACCGCGCATGTGAAGTTGTAGAAATTGTTTTCTAGAGCTTAAAAACACTCATATTTCAAAATGGTTCTCTGTTTTATAAAGTAATCGCATTTCTGGCTAGTATATTTCAGGACGAATGGATAAGGATTGAGCCAAGAGCTTGTGTGAGCAAATCCAATTTTTGGCAGCCAATGTCAGTTACGCGGTTTTGCAGAATGACGACTTTAAACGACAGTATATATGTATGAATGAATCTTGGTGTAAAGTTGTTTCACTTGACTGATTAGCAATTTAATCGAACTCTTGGCATTTGCTTGAAACTATTAAGCTAGCATTTCAAGATACTATTGATATACATATATGAAGGGAAAACTTGGTAGTTACATATGTATATGTTTTTTACTTTCGTTCAGTTTTTAGAAAACAATTAATCTTTCGAAATACAGAAACGAGCTTTCAAGATAGTTTCCGGAATTGGCAATTGTCATATGAAAGGCTGGCCTGAGTTGAAAGACAGATGCCAGAATTTACCCTGTTAGCGGTATTGTTTGTTTTACAGTTTCTAAAAATTAAATACAATTTACGAAAACAGTTTTCTTTTTAAAACAATAGAATCTAAAACTAAAAATAAAAATAAATTAGAAAAGCAAAAAATTAAATACTTAAAAGGAATTGCTAAAAATAAAAAAAATTAAGTAAATAAAAAAAATAAAAAAAATAATTAAAAAATAAAAAACGAAAAATTAATTTCTAAAACTTATAAAAGAAAAATAAATAAATAAATAACGAAAAAGAAAATATACTTGCAAGCAGAATCAGTACGCTCAAAATGATATGTATAAATAACTATTTTCATATTTGATTACAAACTGAAAGAAAAAAGTAAGTGACCGCAACTGGCGTCATACTTAAATTAACTAATCAGCTCCTATCTTTTTAACGGTGAGAGGAAACAGATTTAACGGTCATTAATCAACTGCCCGTTAGATCTAATTTAATGAACGTTTTTGAGCGCGGCTGTAAGACGTTAACAAGCAGGTTTGTTAATATATCGATAACGAAAAAAATTTATAGAAATATAAAGCGAGACATTTATCGGTATTGAAATCGCTGTCACCGATGATAGTATCACAGCGAAACTCGATAAATATGTCGATAGAATATGAATTAATATCCCGATTACGATATAAATATGTCGATAATATTGCACAAACTCTAATTGTTTTTTTTTTGCAAATCAAAACTCTATGAATTGTATGTATATGTGGTTGGGAACACTAACTGAGGGCTTTTTTCATTAAAAGCTTTTTTTAACAACTCCAATCCTTATATAATAAAGAAAAAAACATTCTGTAATACGTTGTGTACTGTTATTATGTCCATCCAACCAATCATCGGAACTACATCAAATTGGTATGGGACCAACTTCAAGGTATAGCCTTTCCACATAAAAAGAAATTTAGTCAAAAGCTATATCCAAGTATCATATAGACATTAAGGAATACCGTTCTTTTTTTTAATGATCCCATGATCGGAACTAAAAGAAATTAGTATGGGACCCTTGAGATACCACCTTTCCGATAAGGAAAGAATTATCGAAATCGTTTGACGTGGTCCCAAGTTTTGCAGTAGTATACATGAAAAAAAATACTCCGACGAATTGATAACCTCCTCCTTTTTTCAAGGCGGTTAATAACACACATTGCTGTAACAAATATGTAGGTTAAAAAAGCATACCAAATTTCATTGAAATCCACAGAATTATTTCTACACTTCCATTAAGTTTATTGCGCTATAAAAACTAAAACATCGTGTCACGAGTTATGGCACCGTGAAATATGGTAAGATATTAAAATCATTTTCTCAGATAAAGTACACAAGCCTTTAGTGGTGCTTTAGTGCTCATCTTTGCCATAATGCAATTCTTATTTTTAGCATTTCTTAATTCACAAAAAATCTACATTCAAGGTATGACAATAAATTTGCTTGATGGAACATGAAAAATGCATCATAAGTGAAGCCAGAAGAAAGATGTAACTAAAATATGAGCCCACAACTGTCCAATCACAAAGGTGCGGTGAAGCTCAACGCTTTATGTGACTTTTCTCAGAACAAAAATTGTAAAAAAATATATAAAAAAGAAGAAGCCGAAGCCTTTTAAGTACACGCAATGAAGCTCAAATGCTTTTCTTTTAACAATCTTGCGGCTGCGCGAATTGCCGCTTTAACCGCGCACTGGTTATTCCCATACTCAAATATACCCACTCAAGTAGTCGCATTTTTTTTTTTTATTAAGTACTTGCTTATAAACATATGTATGTACGTTGATATGCAAGTAAGTATGTATACAAATGTGTGCATTCCCACGAGCTTTTAATTTTGCATTACTCCCGCAGGTTAATAAATATTCTTGTTAGTCACAAAATCCATTGAGTTCTTCCCGCCAGTGAAGAGATGTTTAAAAATAGTTGAACCCAGTTAAAACGGCATAAAAGGTTATTTGGACAAGTCAGGCACAAAAAATTAAAAAAATAAATAAATTGTAACATTCCAGAGTAAATTTGGTTAAGTAAATGTGTCAGCAGTATTCTGTTGTTAACATTCCGCAAAAAAAAACGCCTTCGACACATCGAATGTATGTACGCCGAAAATAAGTTAAGGAGTTATTAGCAGTTTTAAATTCACAAAACACAGTTAACGGGTTAACGATTTTAGTTGGGTGCTCATAACATAAACTTGAAATAAATGAAATACTTAAATTAATAAAACATAAATACTTGCAGCCCCTTTCCCCTCACTTCTTCTCACCTGCTCTTCAAATTCTCTGGCACAAAGATATTCCACCATGAATGACGTTTTTGACGCGGAAAATATGCTGTATGCTTTGGATCGATATCCCCGTACGGTAGTTCGCCCGCAGATGAGCCCATGCCATTGGCGGCATTAGCGTCAGCCATACTGCCATTGGTCAATTCGCTTTGTGAGCCGCTCGGCAAGCTGCTGTCCATGCCCAATTGGCCAATGTCGTAATTCTTGCGACGATGTCTTTCCAATTTCGCTTGCAGTGAACTGCGTCGCCGGCGATTGCGTTCTTTGTCGACCGGTGAATCGTAGGGATTATTTATGCCCTTCACAATGGGTCTCAAATTGGAGCCATCATCGAAATAGGTCAACTTGCCAGGTTCATTAGGCGAGGAGGCGCGTACATTCTCATCGGCGGTGTATATAATTTCTGGACTAACCGGTGTGTTTGAGCCGTCGCTCTTTTCTTGTTTCACAGCAGATTCATAGGAATCTTTGGAGGAGTTCTGCAAAGGAAAATGAGAATTATGCACATATGTATATTTGGCAATAATCAGATACAATTTTAGAAAACATCAGCTGATTTTGGACTAAGCTTCTATGATATGTAAAAACAATATTAAAGCTGGCAGTCTTGAAAATCTTATCGAATAAGTATATGCAGCTAAGTAGGTGAAAAGAGACAGTTCATGGTAAAGCTTCCCTCATACTATCCACAATTGGACTCGAAATCAGACAGAGAGGCTACCAGAACACTGCTTAAAGAGCCCAAAATATAGGGGCCAAAAAGAGTTTGCCCGCCCTACATTTTTCCCCAATGCCGTTTATAATGCGTACAATTGCAGGGTATCATGAAGGTATACATATAGATTCCCAAGGAGCGGGTAGGATAACCGACCAACTTTTCACCAACCTATTAGTCGAACCTCCCTTCTTTCAAAGATGATAGATACGTCTAGGGATTAGTACATAAGAGACGGCTTACTTCGTAGAATGGGGCTTACACAATATGTTATTGTTTGGCCGAGCTTCTCCTCCAATTTGTGGCATGCACCTTGATGTTGTCTTAGAGTGGGGAGGGATCTACTGCGAACAGCGATTATATTTTTATGCGAAGCTGTTTTCCTAACGAGAATGTCTTAGCGTTATTATGTTGTCTTTCACCAATAAACTTTCTTAAAATTAACTTAAATAAAAAAATACATATATATGTATTTTTGTTTTTAACACAATTAAAATTTATAGACAATTAAATTTGAAAGAAAAAAAATTAAGTAAAAAAATATATATAAATATTTGCTTTTGGAGACAATAAAATCTGGCAATTAAAAGAAATTTAAGTTTAAAAAAATTATTAAAAAAAGTAAAAATTAAATAAGATCCAAAAAATTAAATCAAATCAATAAAAATATAAGTTTATTTTAAAAACAATAAAATGTTAAAATTATTTTTCTTTTTAGATTAATAAAATCTAGAATTTCCACCTTTTTTGACAATCAAAGAATTTTAATTAAATTAAAAAATATAATAAGATTCCAAAAATTAAAAGGGATAAAAAATATGTTTCTTAAAGCAATAAAATTTAAAAATTATAAAAAAAAATTTATTAAAAAATAGAATAAAATAATAATAATAATAATGATAGATTGGTGCTTACACATATGTTAGTGTTTGGCCGAGCTTCTCCTCGATTTCGGTATGAATTGATAAGTGATTGATGCGTAGAGCTTCCGGTGAGCATATCTTTTTTGGCAAAAATGGCAGTTACGGGGTTTTGCAAAAACACAATAAGCGGTTTTTACTTCAAACGACGATATTTAGGACGAAGAGGATTTAGTTTTAAAACAAATATAAAAAATAAGTTTGTTTTTAGGACAATAAAGACAAAAAATAAAGGAAAATGTAATTAAGAAAGATAAAAAATGAATTCAAAAAGAAAAAGTTTTTAAAAAAATTTATAAAAAAAATTATATGTATATTTTTCTTAAAATAAAAATGAAATCTAAAAATAAATTTAGAAAAGAAAAAATAAATTAAATTTTAAAAAGTACATACATCTCCATTTCGAACATGCTCAAGTGCTTTCAGTCAAAAGAGCTTTTAACCATGGAACTTTGCAGGGAAGCTTTTTTTGTGAGCCTTTCGTGCCAGAATAAACAAAATCTTTCAAAATATGTTGCATACCGTCTTTCAAAAGAATTGCAAGTGTTTTAGCCAGACTTGACCTCTTAAGGTATGACAAAAAAAAATGAGGCATGTGTATAAACTGATATATTATGATGATTCATTATACACTCACCTTATTACTGTCGCGCCGCAAGAATGAGACCGCAATCGAGCTGCGCCTCTTCTGGCTCTTATCGCCCTTGCTGGAGAACAAGCCCAAGGCCAATGAGCTGCGACGTGGCGGCTTTGGTGGCGGCAAGGGTGTTGTAATATTTAGTGAATTCTCCACTTCATCGCCCACATGCTCATCGATATCGACCAATGACGGTATGGAGGCGCTGGCCCAATCTTTGCGCAGCCGATAACGTCCGCTATCGATTATGCTCATCTTGAACGAACGAACGAACGCACGCGAATTATGGTCGGCGGTGAAAGTTAGTCAGTTAGTTCAAGGTTAGAGTGTCAATGAGTTACGATTAACGATCAATCAATTTCGTAGTTGATTGGTCTTTTTTTGTTATTTTTATTTCTCTTTTTTTCAGTTAACGTCCTTTTCGTTGTTTGGTAAAAAATTTTAATGGAAAATCTGTGCAAAAAAACAAAGAAAGAATAAAATTGATTGTGATTAATTACAAACGCTTTGAAATTAGTAATTTAAAAAAAATAGTTCCCAAAGAAATTCGCTTACTCAGCGCGCACCTGTGAAGTTCACAGAGGCTTATTACTGACTATGATAGTGAAAAAATATTTATGTCAGTACATACTTAGATTGAATGAAGTGCCAGACATTTAATGTCGATTTAACGCTTTGTTGCCACTGCCTACTTAACTCTCAAATTATGCCTAATTGTATTAATTGTACAAATTATATATACATACATATCTACGTGCGGGATTGAGTGCTAAACGTTTTGTAATAAGCGACTTAAATGCCCCAGTAAGTTGTGTGACGTGCGCCCTTTGCGACTTCATCGAAACTACATATCTACAGCGTAAAAATGCGCGATCGTGCGCCGCGCCGCGGCTTGATCAGGCCGATCGACGGCGATCACTCACTCATATGTATTTACACCTAGCGCATTGTGTACAACGCGAATCTCGTGTAAATCACGGGAATTACATGCGCTTAGCATGTTCGACGTTTATCGACAGATAATCAGCCAATCAACCAGCCGCAAACCGCTAGCTGCATGCCGTCAACCGTCAGACAAGGCAGGCGTTCCCACAACACCCGCGAGAATGCGACGCAGTTAAGCAAAAAAATTACAGGCGGACAGCTGGGAGGATGGTAAGCTGGGCGGATGTGTGAATTTACATATGTATCGAAGTGTGTTTGAGTGTTTATATGATGGCGCTTGAACGTCGATCAGCGTTGTACTCGCAAGCGGGGGAAAACTCATATATTAGTATGTATATAAATAATGCATTGTTTTATGACTTTTTAGCCAGTTTCAATGAAAACGAAAGTGACGTCCTCCCAACACGTCCCGCGCTTACCAAACTAAATAGCTGTACTGCGACAGCGATCATTCGCGAGCATTGATCTTTGGCCTGTTTTCCCACGTCGCCGGATCGCACGGTTAGCTGTCGTAGTCATTAAGTGTGGGTATTATGACATTTTGTGTGACTTGTACTTATGACTTTGCGATTTCCAGTAATATTAAATAGCAAAAACACCATAAACACCATCAGTTTGTAAATATTGGCTCTAGTCAGCTTGCTGCAATGAGCAGGCGCTTAATGACTTGGAAAAGTCAAGTAAGCTTATTGACTACATCGTAGGCGTACATAGTAGGCTTTTTTATTGGCCTATAGAAATGAAATTTTATTGCTAATTTCGCATTGAATTGCAGAACTTGTAGTTAGTAGGTAGATAAGTGCATATTTTATCTACCTTTGCTTGTGAGTCAGTAATTAGCGGATTTTAGTGTTACGATAATTAAGCGCAATGCGAATATGGCGTGTAGTAGCCTAATGTTTTGTTTAAATTAGTAATTGCAACGAATTTGTGATATTACACAAGCGTGAATGGCATGCAGCACCAACGTTGTCACCTGGGTGTCTAAATAGGTTGGTATGTAGGGAGGCGGTTCAATGAACTCGCATAAATTAGAAGGTAATGAAAATTGCTCAACTGTTCGTGCGGACTCAGGTTGAAACCATTTTTCTTTGCTTAAAACTTAAGTGAAAATATCCTATGTTTATGGGAAATACAAATGTGCCTAAGGTGCACGAAAATATGTTTTAAGATGGACAGTCCAGAAGCTGAAGTTTAAAGTTCTCTTGAGTGGGAGGATCCTAATTTTATTGAGCGCTTCGAAGTATCCATTTTTATAGACGGCCCAAACTGGATTGTACAGTGTTTCTCAGGCAGAGGTCTTTGCCATAAAAGAGGCGTATAAAATAATTGTATCCTCAAAGCTAGCGAGAACCAGCTTTGCTATTTTCTCGGATAGTCAGACAGCGATCAACGCACTTGACTCTGTAAGCATCACCTCTAGCATAATAAAACAGTGCATGGAGAACGTTATGGTTTTAGCTGACAGGCATGGCGTTGCACTTATCTGGGTGCCGGGGCAGAGCGGAATTCATGCCAACGAGATGGCTGACGAGCTGCACTGGAAAAAGGTGGCTAACCTGTAGGGTCTGCAGGAGTCTGTGGGCCACCTGCTGCAAAAACGAACCGATTTTCTTATCAAACTAAACAGGAGGGCTCTATCTCGACTAACTTCTGTTTACACAGGCCACTGGGCCATGGGAATCCATGCTGCAAGAGTTGGACTGGAACACAACACTTCTTGTCGAAGCTGTTATGCACCAGATGCAGAAGAAACGGTGAAGCATCTGCTCTGCGATTGTCCAGCACTATGTACGACTAGAATCAGGCTTCAAGCCTGCTTCTACGGTTTAATAGACTAACCCACTGCGACTTCTTATGTTCTTGAACTCCACATAGTGGGTTTGAGATAAATAACCGACTTCTGCTGTTTTCTTTTCGCGCTTTCGTTTCAGTTTAAATTGCCAATGGTGGTTTTAAAACGGCACGCTGAAGTGATAATTGGAGTAGTTAAACTCTCCACTTCAATCAACCTACCAACCAAATCATGTTATGTGGGAGCAGATAAACCATAAATCCTATTATTATTGCCAGCGGCCCAACTACTTACCATACCAAGAGCAACAAGATCAGGCACTGGAGAGATGCAGGGTGACTCGGTTGAAAGACAACGTCAACATGTCTGCAAACCAAACTTGACAACGGATGACGGAAATTCGTTCCAAAATAAATCACAGCGTCAACATCTTCTGAATCCGAGAGTTCAAAGATTGAGTAAATAACTGGCGTCTGTGTATACTCGGGAGACCTACAGATCAGTTTTTTTTTTGGTGGCCAAACGATTGCAACGATTTGCAAGCTAAGATTTATTAAAATAGGAACAAAGTTAGCCTTCCACTAAAAATCACGATTACAGCGAAGACAGCCACTACACCTTGGCCCATAGCCAAGCCACTTTGAAAGGTTATAAATAGGAACCATAATAGCGGAATCCGGGTTTGTAAAGAAATTCTGTGACGTTTGACAACGCTGCGCTAGCTGAGTGCAACCTTTGCTGTGATCGCTGACATAGCAATTTCGAAGTAAGGGAGATAGTAGATGGGATGGCCAATTATGACTTGAGATTCCAATAAATGAAAAATCTATGAATACACCTAAGTCGTTAGAAATGCATTATGGGCCAAACGAGATGTTTGTGAGGTCCCAAGGCCATTATGGCCGCAGTTAGATAGGAAAAAGGCGGACGGCCTTCTGAGTAAAAGTTCCTACTGGCGTCATCAGAGGGCACTGTGCTGTTGCACCGATACTTCAATAGTGGCAAATACCACCAAAAAAGGTGCCGCGATGAGAATTTGAAGGAATCTACTGACCATTTTCTTTGGCGAGTTGCGCTTTTTACCAGTCTGGCGGAGATAACGAAGGCGAAGGCGAACTCCCGGATAAGTTCATTTAAGGTAGCAAGTGGTTCTGCAGGTCAAACGACTTGGTTATTATTTTTTTTTTTTTCAAATTACCAATAAAATTAACTGCAGGAATGCAAAATGGAATAGGCTCGGTCAATGTACATATATCTCTGTTATCTGTGTTTTTTTCCTCCTTTTTGATTACAATCTATCATAGACAGGACAATAAGCAATTTAGATTGCGTGTAGGAATGCGGTAGTCTTAGACCATCGTCTTTCGATTATGCTTTTAAAGAATTCAGAAATAATTAGAACATAGAACAAAATTTTTGAATACATCATAATACATTTAAGACAAGCAGTTACACATGTACATACATGCACATATCCATATAAAACAAATATTTTGTGTTTATAATATTTTAGGAAGCTCCGTGGGTTGAGCTCATTTCAGTCTTCTTCTTGTGTTCTTGTTAATTGGAACATAGAAGAAATCCACAGAGCCAATGAATACGATGAGTCTGCAACAGTGGTATTGTGATCCCCACTCAGGCAAATACTCACGGAAATCCATCTGCATGTAATGGCGTGTCTATAAGAAGGACAAGCTTCTGAAATATCACGGAATCTCTTACCTAACTATCGCAGTCTCGCCATTTAATAGAAAATTATCTTAAATATAAGTTAATAGAAGATAATCTACAAGGTCCGCATGTTGGATAGCACCACACATCTGACCTAAATTAGATAAGAGAAGGTCGAACCCACACTCAGAAAAAAGTCAGCCAAATATATTCCTCTCAACACATGATTTTGTAACTATAAACAAATAATGTAACTATAACCAAATTATGTGTTGAGAACAACATATTGACGTAATTAAACTCTTTTCTCAGTGCACTCATACATCAGAAGCGACCACTGCTTCGGCATATAATCGGGGCTATCACGGGCGCCTGCGTGATCGGGAAGCATGCTAACAGAATGAGAGTAAAGTCGAACTACTTCTGCCATAGTTGCTGAGATGTAATACACCCAGAAAAAAGTCAAGTAAATATATTTCTCCGTACACATAATTTGGTTACAGTTACATTGTTTAGTTATAGTTAACAAATCATGTGTTGAAAGAAATATTGTTAGCTAACCTTTTTCTGGGTGTAAAACAGTATCTATATAATAGAGCAGTATCCACGTTCGATGTAATAAAATAGTATCTTCATCCCATTACTACTTTCTTGAGTGACAGACTGAACTGAGTGCGGCTAGTATGTACGTATGACCTCGGGACCTTGATCCTTCGAATCGGTTCCATTTCTAGGTAAAGCAAGGATAAAAGGAACCTTTAATACGGTATCATTGCTGCATTGTATAGGGGCAGCCACGATAACCTAGGCTATAGCAACTTAAAGACAACGGATTTGCTAAGTAGGTGTTGGGTAGAGGTGCTTATGATCCTTGTAACTATTAGAAGTTTAAAGTAATAGAGAAACGAAGTAAGAGCATTTAAACATTGTTTACTTAGATTCGCGGGTAGACCCCTCGACCTTCTAACTACTTTAGCTATCGACATTTATGTCTTTAAAGGCGGAATTTTTTTTATCTACCAGTCTGAAAAAATCTAAGCAA